CTTTCTGTTTGCTTGTCATATCAACTTCAAGGAGTTGTATTGTTAAGTCTTCTCCCCCCCCAAACCTAGACTATTGCAGTAATCTTTTTGACTTGTTTCTTCCTTCCATTCCACCTTATACACCATCACAGACTAATTTTTCTAAGTTACCGTTTTGTACCCATCATGTTCCCTGCTCAGAAATCTTCATTGCTTTTTGTTCTTGAGAGATTGACCCTAAAACTCATTAGCTTGTCATTTAAAACCTGCTATTGTTAGCCCCTTCCCTGCCTTTCCAATTTTATATTTTAGCTACTCTCATGAATAAACCTTTGGTTCCAACCAAACTATCTCCTTATAGATATTCTTCAAATTTCTGCTACCATGCCTTTGTTCACTCTATTCTCTTGCTTGGATTTGCCTTACCCTTTCTTTCTGCTGATTCACACCTTACTTTTCCTTTAGTATCCACCTCCTCTTTTTTTTTTCTTAAAAAAAGATGACCGGGCCGGCCCGGTGGCACACTGGGTAGTGCGCCGCTTGGGAAGCGCGGCGGCGCTCCCATCCGAGGGTTCGGATCCCATATACAGACCGGTTCCCGCTCAAGGGTTGCGATCCGTTGCCGGACACGGAAAAAAGACAAAAAGACAAAAAAAAAATAAATAAAATAAATAAATAAATAAATAAATAAATAAAAAAAGATGACCGGTAAGGGGATCTTAACCCTTGGCTTGGTGTTGTCAGCACCACGCTCAGCCAGTGAGCAAACCAGCCATCCCTATATAGGATCCAAACCTGTGGCCTTGGTGTTATCAGCACCGCACTCTCCCGAGTGAGCCACGGGCCGGCCCCCAGTATCCACCTCCTCTTGAGGCCTTTCTTGACCACTTGAGTTCTTACTGATCATTCCTGCCTCTGAACTTCTACAGCACTAATTGGATATGGCAATTATTTATGACTTTGTTACTTGTCCACAAATAGGTGGCAAGTTGTTTGAGGTCAGGGGTGAGTTTTTACGTTTGTATTCTTTGCATAGGGCAAGTGCCCTCAGTATGTGTTTTTTGAGACATAGAAGTAGAAGCTTAGTAAGGGTATCCTGTAGATAAACAAAGTAGTTATCAAGTTTTCAAAGATTTTAAACCTCCCTTAAAAAAACTGTAAAAGAAAATGATCCCAGGGTTTTAGGGAAGCTGTGAACTCAATATAGATGAATACAGTCTCAACATTTTAGCAAAAACCAAGCTCTGTTGTCTAGTCTTAGTCCAAAGGTATTTATTCTGCTTTTGGATCCTCCAGGGAACCAAAATTCTGAATTGCAATTCCTTCTAAGATTACTTTCCAAGGCAAATGATACCTAGTTCCCAGGTTTGTCAGAGTGAAAGAAGGAAAACTCTGACTTGGTCTGTAGTATTATCTAGGGATTTGAGCTAGCAAAGAGCAAATTTATTAATTTAAGGAAGAGTCTATTTCATAATAATTTTCCTAGGTGGAAATTTGTAAGTGGTATAATTTTGCTTTTAATGAGAATTAAAACCAAATGCTTCTGGGTTAATATGAAATTTCAAGTTCTTGCTTAACTTCCTTAGCGCCAGCAGAAACTTCAGAAGGAACGCCTCATGAATGACTTCTCTGCAGCCCTAAACAATTTCCAGGCTGTGCAGAGAAGGGTATCTGAAAAGGAAAAGGAGACTATTGCCAGAGCAAGAGCTGGATCTCGTCTTTCTGTAAGTTGATTCCCAAAATAAGACCTTTGCAATTTCAGGATTTTTTTTTCCCAAGTTTTCTTTTTTCTTTTCCTCTTTGACCATTAGCCTTTGTTTACTATCACTTCAAATAATAAACATATACATCAGCTGCTGTGAAAATGTCATATTGGTATAACCTATGTAAAAAAATATGTATGCATATGGCCAAAGACTAGAAAGGAATATGCACAAGAATTATAAAAATGAGAGGTAGGGGCCCAGCCCGTGGCGCACTCGGGAGAGTGCAGCGCTGGGAGTGCAGCAGCGCTCCCGCCGCGGGTTCGCATCCTATATAAGGATGACCGGTTCGCTCACAGCGCTCACTGGCTGAGCGCAGTGCAGCCGGTCTCAAAAAAAATGAGAGGTAGAATTATGTGTAATTTTGTTATACTGGTAATATGTTAAAAACTTTTTTTAAAAAGGAATTATTCTATTTCCTAGAATATAGTGGACTAGGTTATTTGGACTAAACCTCTCTTTTTAGAAGAATTATCAAATACTGGATTTTTAAAAAACCCAACTTCTCAAATGTATCAACGAGCCATGAGAATATTGAGGTCAAAATCTAAGAGATGTAAGCAGAGCATTGAAACTGCTTTTGCACTGAATACATTTACTGAGGGTAAACTCAAACTTTAGTTTTGATGTCCTCTTGGTATGAGAAGGATGAAAGTCAAAGCCCAGGGTCCACGCAAGATGGAGAATATTAAAGAAGATGCTCCTCAAATTAAACTGGACCCTAAAAGACTATATCACTAGGGTATGGGTAAACCAAAAGTAAGTCCTCCTTTCCTCCAGCAGACTGCAAAAAGATTGCATCAGTACTGAACTGAGCAGGTGGTGGTGGAGGTTAGGAGTGAGAGGAAACCCAGACAATAAACTGTACTACACAGTAACCATCAGGTGTATTTACTGCCCAAATTCATACTATCTGAATGGTTCAAAGCCTCAAGCTTCAAGTGGTCCTGGACTGGTAGAGCATTGGGCAGAAGCAACCATAGATCCTTTCTGTGAAAAGACTCCTTTATTATAGCCAAGAAAGAATACTATCAAACAATTTTTCAAGGGCAATGGTTAGCATACAGTTAAAAATAACCGAGTACACGAAGAAACAAATTATGCTGAACAAGAACTAGTAGAAACAGTGAAGTGAGATATACCTATGAAGACTTCATATATTAGAATTAAACTTGAAAATATCTTCAGGAAGAAGGAAACTACAAAAAACTTTGAAAAAGTATCAAAAGAATTTCTAAAATTGAAAAATACAATCTGGAAATCAAAAACTTAATGTATACAGAGTTTAACTAGAAAATTGATTAGAAGATATTATCCAGCATATAGTACAGGGAGTTAAGAGGTTAAATATGGAAGAATAATTATGAGAAATGGAGAATGAAGTGAAAATGTCTAATATAGTTTTAATTGGAGTTATAGAATGAAAGCAAACATAAAGCAGAAGAGATTATGGCTGATAACATTCCAAAACTGATGGAAGACACTAACCTACAGTTTCAAGAAGCCTAAAAAATCCCAAGCAGTATAAATAAAAAACTCTTACGTGGATACATCAAAGAGAAACTTCAGAACACCAAAGACAAAGAGAAAAATCACAAAATTAGCCAGAGAAACAACAGAATACCTTCAAAGATGCAATGTTAGATTAACAGTTGACTTCCCAACAGCAACAGTGGAAGCCAGTAAAATGCTGTCTTGAATGTTAATGAGGGAAAATAACTGCCTGTATCGGATTCTAAATCCATTAAAAATATATGCCCAGAATGACAGTTAATGAAAGACATTTCAACCAAAAGAGAGTTTCCTATCAGCACACCTTGCTAAAAGAAATTCTAAAGAATATACCTCAGGTAGAAGGAAAGTGATCCCATATGGAAAGTCAGAAAAGCAGAAAGGAATGAAGAGCAAAGAAATTGTTAAATATTGTGAAAAGAGAAGCCACAAACAGGGAGAAGATATGGCTATATGTATAACTGACAAAGGTTTATTATTTAGAATACATAAAGAATTATCACGAATCAATATGAAAAAGATATAACCCAATAAAATAACAGTTCTCAAACTTTTTGATCTCAGGACCCCATTATACTCTTAAAATTTATTAAAGACCCCAAGGAGGTTTTGTTTATATGAATTATGTCTATTGATGTTTACTGTATTAGAAATTAAAACTGAGAAAAATATTAAATGTTTATTTGTTAAATCATTTACAGATAACAGCAAAACCATTACATCCTTGTTGTAAGTATAGTGGTGAGAGAAAAAAAAATTTTTAAACCCATTACATATTAACGTAAATATAAATAAGACTTTTAATTAAAAATAACTGTTTTTCTAAAACAAACAAAATTAGTGGGAAGAGTGGCATTGTTTTCACTTTTGAAAGTCTTTTTAACGTCTGGCTTAACAGACATTAGATTAGATTTTCATATCTGCTTCTGTTTTTTAACCTTCACACCAAAGATGTAAGTGATTTACACACCATCATCACAATATTAGAGTATTCTAAATTTGACTGTGTACGTACTTTTACCTGTGAGTTTTATACTTTCATGTGTTCTCAAGTTACTAATTAGCATCCTTTTCTTTCAGCTTGAAGAACTCCCTGTAGCATTTCTTGTACGGCAGGTCTAGTGGTGATGAACTCCCTTAGCTTCTGTTCGTCTGGGAACATATCTACTTCTGTATTCACTCTGTAGTGATATGTTGTTCTGGTTGAAGTATCTGAAGAAAATCCAGTCCCACAGAAATATGTAATTGGAAGAGAAAGGAGAATTTTAATAACTTTTTCAGATTATTGTTGATACTCTTCTTTGATATGGGTTGAGCATCCCTAATCTGAAAATCTGAAATCAGAAATGCTCCAAAATTCAAAATTTTCTGAACTCCGACATGATGCTCAAAGGAAATACTCATTGGAGTATTTCAGATTTGGGATTTTTGGATTAGGGATGCTCAACCAGCATGTATTCTGCAATTATTCCAAATTCCAAAATAATCCCCAAATCCAAAACACTTCTGGTCCCGAGCATTTTGGATAAGGGATATTCAACCTGTGCTACATCAAAACTTGAGAAAAGTTAGTTGCATTGTGGAATCTAAAACCATATTAATAATTTTTTCATACTCTGTTACATTAACATTTATATTTTATACTTTAAATGGATCTCTTATCCATGCATGATTTTTGTAACATCATGTATTTATCATTTGGAAAATATCAGTTCCCTGAGTTATACAGGTCTTCAAAATGTTAATACATTTCAGTATACAATATCAAAAAAAATTACATATTATCTTCAGTTTCATCAGAAAAATCTTTAAATTATGGGAAATTCTCACAGTGGTAGATACAAGTTTTTCAAAATTCAATTTTTTTTAATTGAAAGTTACATTTTTTATCATTGGCAAACAAACACTATCTGTTGTTTTCCTTGAAGTGACAAGCTCACATTGTTTATTTTTAAGAAGTTGTCTGCCAAATACCCATGTGAAAAGTTTATATGTATAAAAAAGCTTATAAACATTTGTAAGCTTTTATAAACTTTTATTTTTATTTTATTTATTTATTTTTTTAAAGATGACCAGTAAGGGGATCTTAACCCTTGACTTGGTGTTGTCAGCACCACGCTCGCCCAAGTGAGCTAACCGGCCATCCATATATAGGGATCTGAACCCATGGCCTTGGTGTTATCAGCACCACACTCTCTCAAGTGAGCCATGGGCTGGCCCCTAGCTTTTATAAACTTTTAAATAAATTCTTATAAAACTGTATTGAATAGTAAAAATGTTATTCCCTAAAAAAAGTGGCTAGTTCAGCCTGCAACTCAATTACACACGTTTTCCCTGGAGACAAACATATTTCTGTATGCAACACAAGTGCTTTATGTATATTTCCCATTTCATCATACAGAATATTAAAAAGCTCTTTGTTGAGAGGTCAAGATTAATTAATTAATAATTTGTATGGCTTCATCCAGGGCAAAATGGTTTTTATTTTTTTAACTGTGAGTATATGGTGATGGAGAATACAAAATTATTAGTATAGTTTGGTGCCACTGCCTTGAGCCATTTTATCCACCATTGCTTTTGCTGAGTGCAAATACAGTGAAAAAGGCAAATAAACACATTATTGTTGTTATTATTATTATTATCTGTTTGCTGTTGGTCTGTTCAGGGATCCGAATCCTTGATCTTGGTATTATAACACCATGCTCTAACCAACTGAGCTTACTAGCCAGCCTAGTATTATTTTGAATAATGGTCAAACAAATGAGAAGGTACTCATTTTCTTTAGCAGTTGTGGAATTGCAGATGAAAACAACAATGAGATACTATTTCATGTCCACAAGGAGAGCACAAATTTTTAATTCTGCGAAAATCAGGGGTGGTGGTTGTGGATATGATGCAACAGGAACTTTCCTGTCTGGCTCGTGGTAGTATAAACTGGAATAACTGCTTTGAATAACATTATGGCTATATTTTCAGAACACTTGTATACCTTATGACCCAGCAATTCTATCCTAGAGAAATCTGTATATGTATATACCAGGACATATGTACTCATATAAGAATTTTCATAATATCATTATTTATAGTAGTCAAAAAATGGCAACATCCAGATGTCCATCAACAGTAGAATGGGGGCCGGCCCGGTGGTGCACTCGGTAGAGTGCGGTGCTTGGGAGCGCGGAGGCGCTCCCGCCGAGGGTTCGGATCCCATATAGAGACCGGTCTGCTCACTGGTTGAGCGCAGTGCGGGCGCGACACCGAGGGTTGCGATCCTGTTGCCGGTCGCGGTACGGGTGTGACACCATGGGTTGCGATCCCGTTACCGGTCACGAAAAAAGACAAAAAGGGAAAAAAAAACCAAAAAACAGTAGAATGGATAAATACATTGTGATATATTCACATACTATAATAGCACACAGCAAAGAAAATGAACAAACCACAGTTACATTCAGCACCAGGGATAGATCTGGCGTAATCTGGAATGATCCAAAGCACAAACGAACACAAACAGTATAATTCCATTTATGTAAAGTTCAAAACAGGCAAAGCAATATTGAATAAGGATTTATATCATCATTTTAAAAATGCAAGACATTGATTTCCACAAAGTCAGGATAATGGATACTTTATACTGTAAGAAGGGGGCAGTTGTTATTGGAGAAGGGCTCACAGTGGGCTTTTAGGACACTGGCAATGTTCTGTTTCTTGATATGGGGTAAAAGTAAAGGGAAAAAGTAAAAACAAAAAACAACAAAAAACCAATGTTCCTCTGGGTGGGTAGAATTTTGAAATTTTTGTCATTTTGTTTGTCCTGTATTTCTGTTATAAAAAGAGCGAGCTTTTAAAAAATGAACAAATTGGTCTTGAACATTTTTTTCTTTGTTCTTAAATTACAAAAGTAATATATGCATTAGACTGATTTTTGAAGTGCATTTTGAAGCCACTTTAGTACCTAATATGCTATAAATGTCTATTTAAAAAAATCTTTATATGTTCTAGAAACTTATTTTCTTGCAAGTTTTCAACTCGTCCCCTTAATTTACCTCTCTCAAAATTTTAAAATAGGTTGTTATTATTATTATTTATCCTTCTCTTCCACCCATGCTCTTCTCTCATCCTGTTCAGTATGGTTTCTGTTGTGGGCCCAAACTGGAATTCAGATTTGCTTTCAACCACTTCACAGCCATTTTCTTAGTTGAGATAGATTGCCACAGTCCTGTGTCATCTTACAGATCCTGTCAGAGCCAAGGGATGTTGCTTCTTTATCCCATAGCTAAGGAACCCTTGTTTTGTGTGCCTGTGACATGTTTCTAGATAACCGTAGCGCTAATGCCATCTGCTTTCTAGGCAGAAGAGAGGCAAAGAGAAGAGCAGCTCGTCTCATTTGACAGGTAAAAGAATTATTCATACAACCTGCTGGGTAGTTGAGATGGGAGTCTATGTCTTTATATTTATTTATTTTTTAAAAAATCATGTTATTTGAGTTCTAACTATTTTTAATTTTAAAAAATCAATGAGAGGGGCTGGCCCGTGGCTCAGTCAGGCGAGTGTGGTGCTGATAACACCAAGGCCATGGGTTTGGATCCCATATAGGGATGGCCGGTTGGCTCACTGGGTGAGCGTGGTGACTTAACACCAAGTCAAGGGTTAAGATCCCCTCACCGGTCATCTTTTAAAATAAATAAATAAATAAATAAAAAGTCAACGAGAAAAAAAGGGAGGAAAAAATAAAGGGGGACCTGGGATGAGTAACCAATAATCTATAAAATAAAATTTAAAAAGTCAAAACCATGGGTGTTTTCCAAGGTCTTTGAATTATGGAAGAAATAATTTCAAGATGAATTAAAAAATTCCAAGAAACCCCTGATGTCTCTGTGTTGAGGAGGGGGCTTGACTCACTAGGAATAAGTATGAACCCACACATCTACAGATGAGGAGGTCTAAATCATCTTACCTCTAATTCAGATTTAAATTCTTCAAAGTTCTTTGGTCTCTGTCCATTCACCTCTAACATGGGGCAACTCATTCTTACAGGAGTATCAAGAGGAAATGCAATTTGTATCTGAAAGATGTCTCCTTTCTTAATTCCTCCAAGCTATCCCATAGGAATGTATTCATCCTATTAGTTTAGAACTTAATGTGTTTTGTCATAGATATGTATCCATCTCGCTCCATTACGCTATGAGCACCTGAAAGGCCCGGGGAACTCTGTCTTATTCAGTTTTGTATTTCCCGCACAAGGAGGACATTCTTTAAATATTGTGGAGATGAATATGATTTAGTCATACTGCTGGAAAAATGTATAATTCTGGATTTTCTTTTTTTTTTTTAAAAGATGACCGGTAAGGGGATCTTAACCCTTGACTTGGTGTTGTCAGCACCACGCTCACCCATTGAGCAAACCGGCCATCCCTATATGGGATCCGAACCCGTGGCCTTGGTGTTATCAGCACTGCACTCTCCCGAGTGAGCCACGGGCCGGCCTGAATTCTGGATTTTCAAAGAGATTCATGTCTAGTATAAGTAATATGCCTTTCTTCTAAATACTTGAGAAGAGTTATAGCATTTCTGTTAAGAGGTGTTTAATGCAAAGCACAACCTCAAGGCCATTCCTGAAAACAAGGACATGTGTTTCTGTTAAAGTAATTGGCGAAGCACTGATAGGTCACTTACCCTGCTCTCCTCTACCCATTTAGTACCCAAGGTTCCAACACAGCCCTGGAAAGGGATGTTCAGTGTAATTCACTGAGTTTAAATCTCTGGCTACTTGCCTTGTGTAGCAAGTCCCAGCAAGAATGCAGAGTGTACCCCTAAATGGAAACAACAAGGAGTCCCATCCCTCATAATTCTGCTTCCCCTCAGTTTTGCCCATGAAAGCTGAGACTTTGCTTTCTTAGTATTATCAACTGTTTGCCTCTGGATATGAAGAATGTGGTTCTCAGGGACTTTGTATTGATACTGAGGAGTTGGAGCCCTGGTTATGTTTTTGGATAGGTTCTGCTGGCAGTAGAGATGTTGTAGGTATGTCTTGTCATACCTTAGAGAGAAGGAATCAACAAGTGTTTTTATCTCCCTGCAGCCATGAGGAGTGGAACCAGATGCAGAGCCAGGAGGATGAGGTGGCCATCACTGAGCAGGATCTCGAACTTATTAAAGAGAGGGAAACAGCAATTCAACAGCTGGAGGTGAGAGCAGGTCATGTTTTTTGTTTGATTCAGTGTGTCAGCAGGTATCTGGTCTCTCTGGTCCACCTGAATTTTCTGTCAGTGATTATGAAAAAGCACAAAATGAGTCACTGTGTGATTTGCATATTATCTGTCTCAATGTAATCATGGTAAATTTGAACTACTGTTATGATGATATTGGCCTTTGTGCCCAGGAGTACCCAAATCCTTTACTCAATCACCACATCTTGTATGGTCTCCTTGAGAAATATGCATGGAGAACAGAATAAGGCAAACAAATATTTTATTGCTTATTAGGACTTTGTTTCCAAATCTCAAAGCTAACCTCTAGGTTAAGCAGGGCTCTATGGAGAGCCCCTTAGGTGAGTTGAATAGCCCAGTGCAAAGGCAGGCCAAAAGTCTTGCTGTATTTTTGTGTATCCATAAGTCCAATCCCAAATTGTAGATCTTATCACTTCAGTAGGTCAGAACATTTTTGAGGTGGGGGTTGAGGGAGAGGTCTATACCCCATTTCTACCTAATTGAGCTTCCAACTTTAACTCTGCACAGTGACTGTAAAATATCCTTAAACCTGAGTAGTTTTCTCCTCTGTGGAGGTAGAAGGCTGCCAGCCCTGGCACAGGAAGGGGAGTAACTTTGAGTTCCTCCTTGACCTTCATCTATAGCAATGGTTCTAAACACTGACTGAGCATTAGAATCACATGGAGAAGATGTTTCTAAAATGCCCTAACTCTCCTCCCCCCCCACCAATTATTAGATTGAACTGTGAAATTCCTCTTTTTGGAGATTAAAAATAGGCAAATATTCACACTATATGGGTTCAACCTAGTAAATCATAATTTCTGGGGATGAGGCCCTGGGCATGGATATTTTCTTTAAAGCTTTCTAGGTGATTATAATGTGCAGTCATGATTGGGACCCACTGCCCTAGAGCCCGTTAGTGTCTGTTTTCAGATGAGATAGTTTATCAGAAGTTATGATTATTTTATTGCCTTCAAAGATGTTATAGCTTTTCTTTACTCTTTTTCACCTACTGCTGATAATCATTGTCTTGGTTCTCTAACATTAGAAATACTGTTATAGCAGGGAGTAGAGTGAGACATAGAGCTAAGGGAAGGAATGTAATATAATGGATGTCAGGAATTTAATGGATCATTTCACATTCAGCAGAATGAAGTCCAAATTCCTTCTCAATTTTCATATCCAGTCATTTCCCACCTCTAACATACAAACCCTATGTTACAGCCAAGCTGGGCTATTTGCTCTTTAACTCAGTTGCCTTTCTGTTTATATGGCCTCTCCTTGGACACAACTCAAGTCCTACCTCTTCTGTAAAGTCTTCCTCTTCTGCATACCTTTCTATACCATTCACTAGTTATTTCCTGTATAACACCCTTTCTTCTCATTTATTTTACTGTACACTTATTCTCCCCCACCTCAGTTAGCTGTATCCACAGCAACTAGTAGACTGCCTCAACTACAATAGAGTCTTATCCAGTGACTGAAATGCTGGCAAGAACTATTCTTGCCAAGTTATGATTCCAATCACCCTCCAAACCTGGAAGAGAGTTGTTCTGATGGACATCGACATGTCCTACCTTAAATGCACCCCTTAAATTTCCATAGGGCCAGGGCCGGCCCGTGGCTCACTCGGGAGAGTGCAGTGCTGATAACACCAAGGCCATGGGTTCGGATCCTATATAGGGATGGCTGGTTAGCTCACTTGGGAGACCGTGGTGCTGACAACACCAAGTCAAGGGTTAAGATCCCCTTACCAGTCACCTTTTATATAAAAAATAAAATAAAAATAAAAAAATTTCCATAGGGCCATGCCCCATTATTAGCATCCCTTTAATAGGCCAGGTTTCCACTGCCCTTCTGCCTGACCATATGGCCAGGCCATTGGTCACGGTTCACAAATGGGTAAGAACCCAAACCAGTAAGATCATGGATTTTAACCACTGTTCAATCTTTCCATCACTGCTAAGAAAACAGCATACAGTTCAGCCCACTGAGATGATCTGTTTTACCTCCCTCAATCAGAGTAGCAGCCTTCCAAACAGGATGTAGTTTATTCACCTTGGAACTGCCATCCATCAACCAAGCAGCTATCGGTCAGTTAAAAGCAGTTAGAGGCTCCCTGTTTTGAGTATCTCCTTCTCCCATTCACCAGGTAGCATGATCCTATAAGACCATTTAAATTCTCTAGTCCAAAGTCCCAGTAGTTGTTGTTGCAAGGCACTCACAGGCTTTTGTCATGAGACCCAGGCTAGGCTCCACATAGGGCTATCACACTGAGAATTTGTCCCTACCAGCACTTTAGTTTCTACTCTATACTGTTTGGACTTGAACCATCTTCCTGGTTCCCATTTAGCATGTCTCATTAATATTGCTTGAAGGGCAGATTTACATGCCTTCTGTTTTACAATATTAAGTAGGTAGTGATAGATCATTTTCTGTATATGGAGAAAATATGCTATACAGAGCCTTAAAAACACATATATTATGTTAAAGGCTAAAACTTTAGGTAAGCAGAGGAAATGAATCTTCTAACATGTTGCTTAATGTTTCTGCAGTATCCCCCAAGTTGATGTCCTGTCTATTGAGCCTATACCTGCTCTCAGGTAAGCTCAGTACATGCTCAGGTGGAAAGCCCATAGCAGACAGTGTCAGGTTTTGGCTGAGAGTCAAGTCCAGGCAGTTAGGATCTGTGGCTTCAGAATTCCCCAAGACACTGGGAGCTTTCTTCTGCCTCAGCAGAGCCAAGACTTGGCAGTGTCAGATGGGGCTGGCTGGTCAGCTCAGTTGGTTAGAGCATGGTGCTATAACACCAAGGTCAAGGGTTCAGATACCTGTACTGGCCAGCTGCCAAAAGAAAAAAAAGGCCTCTATTTAATGTTTGTTTTCCTTTTCCCTGATCCTCCAATAGGTAAAAATCATAGTAAAAATCAGTTACAGAGACCTAATCTTATTTCTCTCTTCTTTTCAAGCCCTCAGAACCACACCCCTGACCACCATTTTTAATCCATTCACTACTGCACGGACCTACAATCCAATCACCTCTTCAAGGCTCCACCTTTCAGTTACCATAATAGGATCTCCCACTCTCTTAACAGTCACAGTGGGGGCTAAGTTTCTAATACATAAAACATGGGGGAAATAATTCAAGCTTCAGTGAGTATGGGGGGACATAATTCAATCCATTATAGTGCCCTAAACAGCTGAAATGCGCTTCAATTAGGATAGTAAGCAGTACAGTTAAAGTAGGGCTTCCTAGATAACTTTATGTTGACAGTTGCCACCAAGGATAGACATGGAATCAATTTTGACTATATACGAATAAATAGGGGTTAATTATTATGAAACTGTTCCTGTAAAGTGAAATTCTTCTACATATTAGTTGAAACTTGGGTTTTATGACTTATCTGGATTTTAACTCAGTGCACAAATGAGTTCCTTCTCATTTTCCCTCAATTTGTTGTTGCATGGCTCTTTAATAAATAGCATTTCAGCCATTTTCCATGTTCCTAGGATAGCTGTATTTTACCTGGCAATGCTGTTAAAGAATTTGTATTTAATAATAGTATTTCCTTTAGAAACTATATGATGACTTCAGTATCCAACAGTAGAGGAATAATTAAGTAAATTATATACATTCACTCAATGTTGTATTATATGATGTATTAGTCTATTTCTGTTGCTTATGACAGAATACCTGAAACTGGGTAATTTATAAGGAAATTATTTCTTACCGTTTTGGAGGCTGGGAAGTCCAAGGTCCAGGGAACACATCTGGTGAGGGCCTTCTTCTGGGTGGTGACTCTCTACAGTAACTCGGGGTATCACATGGAGAGAATCGCAAGAGCAAGCGAGCTAACACCTTCTCACTGGCTCTCCTTATAAAGCCCTCAGGATCACGCCCATTACTCCATTACTCCATGAATGGATTAAGCCATTCACAAGGGCACAGTCCTCATGATCCAATCACTTCTCAAAGGCCCCACCTTACAGATATCATAACTGGATTTCTCACCCTCTTAACATTGTTACAATGGGGGTCAAGTTTCCAATACATGAACTTTTAGGGGACACATTTAACCCATAGCATATGGGGATTAAGAAATGTTTATGAAGAGCTTATAACAGAAAAATGTTAATGCTCAACATTAAGTCAGAAAAACATCACACTTCATACAGTATGATCCCATTTATGTCTAATAACTATGCGTAGATAAAAGATCAGAAGAAAATACAATCAAAATGTTAACAGTTTTATCTGTGGATGATTATTCTCTTTCTGCTTACCTATATATATTTTACAATGAACATAAAATTATATAATAGGTATAAAACTGTTATTAAAATACACACACTATGCGTAGATAAAAGATCAGAAGAAAATACAATCAAAATGTTAACAGTTTTATCTGTGGGTGATTATTCTCTTTCTGCTTACCTATATATATATTACAATGAACATAAAATTATATAATAGGTATAAAACTGTTATTAAAATACACACGCACAGGGCCGGCCCGTGGCTCACTCGGTAGAGTGCGGTGCTGATAACACCAAGGCCCCGGGTTCGGATCCCATATAGGGATGGCCGGTTTGCTCACTGGCTGAGCGTGGTGCTGACAACACCAGGCCAAGGGTTGAGATCCCCTTACTGGTCATCTTAAAAAAAAAAAAAAAAAAATACACATGCACAAATAACTTATTGCAAATAATGCCTAGTAGCATAGGTATAGCTCCTTTACAAAACTGTATTTGGGGACCTGGAATTAAAACTTGCACTATTGCCTATTGCTGATGACTGTTTAGATTTTTAGGAAGGTCTCCACATATTTTTGCATGGATAGTTATTTTGAATTACAAGGAGGCAGATTTACAAAGCACTCTTGGAGTCTTAGATATAAAAAATTTTACTTGTTTCATGAGTGTCTTCTTTACATATTTCTTTTCTCAGAAAAAATCTCGCAAGAAGATGTGTATCCTGGTGCTTGTCCTGTCAGTGATTATTGTAATTTTGGGAATTATTCTCTGGCTAGTTAATAAATGAAATGATTGCCTCAGAGCCTTCTCCTGCTAAGCTGTTTTCAAGGGCAAGTTCTTGGAGTCTTGCCAGAACAAACTGATCACAAGAAGAGAATGTAACACCAGAACGTCCTGTAATAATTTAGTTAGAAACTAACTACTAACTAGTCCTTGGAAGTAGTGACCTATGAAGACAGTATTTATCAATTTATGTATACATTTTTGATTTCTCAAATTAGGGATTATGTGGATTTTGCTTTCTCTTGTGTTCTGATTGCCGTTCATCCCAAGTGTTTACTGAAAATTCCATTCTAAATATTCTTTTTGACAGATTCCAATTGTGTAATATTGTCTTTTTATGTGTACACAAAATTTACCTTTTTACTAGCAACTAAGATAGAATGACTTTCTGGCACCCAGCGTATTGGAGTCTATCAGAAACTATATAATAGGCCAGCAATTTTTATTGTTTAACATTTTGATTTGAATTTCTGAGATGCCTATTCTCTTAACTGTTTTGAAAGATTTTGGCATTATATTTAACTGGAAAGTAAAAAATTTGCACATGAGATCCATATTAAATGAGAAGTATCTATTTGAGCCGGCCAGTTGCTGGGGTACATGTTACTAATCTGCGTTTAAAGTTTACTTTATTATGCTAGTGTCATCCACAGCAGTTCATCCTCATACACACTAAGCCGTCTTGTTCACTTTTGAAATAGGTTAATTTAATTAACATGACAATACTCTATGGGGTCTCTCTCCCACCTGTCTGTATAGAAAGGGAGAATAAGAACAGCATGCTTTTGGAAAGCAAATAGGAATTGTTCGGAATGAGTTAATCTCTTTGTTGTTGTTCACTTGTGGTTCTACATTCCTGGTGAATGATGAATGTTGCTGTCAAAAGGCTGCCCCCTACCGTATAAGGGTTGCTGGGCATTTGATGGCAAGAAAAATTTAAAAGCTAGACTGAAGTTGGTTTAAAACTTAGTCCTGTGAACCTGGTGATAAAGCAAAGAAAAAGTTCATTTTTGTAAATAATACTTGTTTGGAATAGTGATGTTAGACTTACCCTAATTTATGAATAATAGGATTAATCTCTCCATGCATAGTTTTAGACAAAAAAATGTTTAATAAAAGATTGCTGTCTTATAAATGTTGTCCACTTCTCTTTTTCACAGACCTAGAATAGTTAAAGGAAAAATAATTTGTTTAGACTGTTACATAAATATGAACCAGGCCAACAATTTCAGTTCATCCTTTAGTGAATTAGAGGATTTGGCTACCCTGGGTATATTTATACTTCTTCTATTCCCCTTAATGTTACTTAATCTTCTTTTAATAAACTAATGTGAACAGTAGGGAAACAAGGGCCGAAGTGCATAACTTTCTTTGAACCCTTATACCATTCTACCTATTTAATACAAATAAACATTTAAAATTTTTTTGTAGTAAGTTTTTATGTGTTATCCTTATGAGGCAGGTATTTGGTAATGTGCTGTTATAAGAAAAATTGAGACTTGCGAAAAGACTGGAAACCAGGTGAGGGTTGGCTTGGGGCTAGAATAGGTGTTGCCTTTCCTTGAAAACAGGATAGAGCTTCTGGGGTGGCACAGTGGCCTGAGCAGCAGCTTTAGAGATAATTCCTTGGTTCTGTAGTCATTGCCCTTTCAGCGCCAAGTTACAGTTGGACTTGGATACATCAATTGTAACATTACTGGAAAGAAAAAAGTCTGATTGTGAAAAAGTATTTGAATTTGGGTAAAATAAAGTGACCATAGTTCCATTTTATAATACTATGTGATCCAGTTGTGGTTGTAATGGTGGCCATGGAAGCAAATATGAATTTGGCCTAGAATTTGTGATAATTGCCAAAGAGGTTCTGCTAGATGGTCTTAATATACCTATTCACAGAATCCTCCTTATTTGTTCCTTGATTATCTTTGGGGCACCATGATACAGGACAGTGGTTCTTAACTATGTCCCCACATTAGAAACTTAGGGAAAAAATGCTGATACTTTGGTCCCCATACCCCAAGATTCTAATTTAATTAGTATGGAGTATATCTTGGGCATAGAGATTTTTTTAAAACTCCGGGTGATTCTTATGTGCAACCACAGTTGAGAACAATTGGTTTGGAGGTCAAAAACCAGACTGGGGATGGAGAATCTTAGCTCTGCCATTAACTTGCTGAGGGTATTTGGATAAGTCACTTAACCTGTAGGCCTCACATTTTCTCAGTAGCACTTTTCCAGTTATAAAATTCTCCTACTATAAGGACCACATTTGTTTAGCTTGAACATACAAATTATATGTTTGCCTTTGTATTCCTTTCCTTTTCTCATTTCCTTTTCTACTTCCTTTATGAATGATCTAGCATTTTCTGTTCAAATGAATTAAAACTGTAGTACTATATAGGGTAAAGTAGAAATACCATTCTGGCCACTTCATCTGGGAATGTGCCTGAACATGAACTTGCTAAATGCTAGAGTGATGCTCCTAGGGCAGGTCTGTGTTTGTGTGTGTATATTTTCTTTTTTGCTAAGGGATGGGGATGGAAGTGTTTGCCTACCGCAATGCATATACTAGCTCTCAAGCGAAATTTATACTTGCCTTGTACCGTTGGGCAAAAATATCGAAATTACTGTCCAATCTGGGCAAAGTAAAACACTCCGAGCCTCCTACATTTAGTTTTTCTTTGTATTCAGAGAAAGTCCTCAGTCATATGAACACAGTTTTTGCTTTTGGTCACTAAGTACAGACTAGAACCCAAGTCAGATCTCAGTCCATCCTGTTCCCTAGGGCTAGGAATCATTTGCCTCTTCCCTGCTTTTCCAAGCATGTTTAGTGTATCCCTAGGATTCAAAGGATTTTTCAGTATTGCTTTCCAGTGCCACAAAATGCAACTACTTTAGAATCTCCATTTAACCAGGAAATAGGTTGAGAGATTTTCATTCCCAATCTCGATCCCACTTTTAGACCAACTTAGTAGTTCATTTTAATACTTTATGAAAATGAAATCATTGCTAATGTAGCACATTTAAAAAAAAATAAACTTGCAATAATACAATTTTTAATGTTGGACTTTGATTAAGAACCAAATTTTTACCAGTCCATGGGAGAAATGACAAAAACGATGTAGTGGGCTTTTAAAAAAAATTCCATCTGAGTCTGAGATAATGTCCTTCCAACTTTTTTAAAAGGATATTTTGAGATTATAAAAAATGAAAGGGGGGCCGGCCCGGTGGCGCACTGGATAAGTGCGCCGCTTGGGAAGCGCAGCGCCGCTTGGGAAGCGCAGCGGCGCTTCCGCCCGAGCCTTCGGATCCCACATACAGACCGGTGCCCGCTCGCTGGCTGAGCGAGGCGAGGCGCGGGAGCAACCCCGAGGGTTGCGATCCCATTGCCGGTCCCCGGTCCGGTACGGGGGCAACACTGAGGGTTGCGATCTGTTGCCGGACACGGAAAAAGACAAAAAAAAAAAAAAAAAGAAATGGTGGTGATATTAGATGGACGATTTCATTTTTAAATCTCCTTAGATGGAAAAATAAAAGTTGACACCGTATATTCCTTTTTTTGTGTGTGTGTGTCCTTTTTGAGACCAGCCGCACCACACTCAGCCAGTGAGCGCTGTGAGCGCACCGGTCGTCCCTATATAGGATCCGAACCCGCGGCGGGAGCGCTGCTGTGCTCCCGCACTCTCCCGAGTGCGCCACGGGCTCGGCCCCAACTTTTTTTTTTTTTTTTTTCTTCTGGTCCATGACATCTTAAGTCTGTGAACCACTGATCTAGACTAGCTTCATCATTTTACAACTAACGAAGCTGAGGCCAGGAATGGCGTGCCATTACTTAAAGGTTTGAGGAGGTGCTCTACATGTGAATGGTCACTTGTGGGATAACGTTTGAGCCCACACTACCGGTAAATTACTATGCTAAATGTTTTACATTTATTATCTCATGCCCACAAAACCACCTATGAGATACATTTTTCTTGTCTTCGCTTTTATGGATCAGGAAGCTGAGGCACAATAAGTTAAGTAGCGTGCTCATGGTCATACAATTTATAAGTGATGGAGCCAGGATTTAATCTCAAGCAGTCAGACTTCAAAACCACACCTTTAGACACTATGCACTGTCTCATTCATCACTAATACAAACTTTCCTGCTCACCACCTTTCCCATGAAGGTTTCCCCAAAATCTGGAGAAGTGTCAATTTCTACCCAATTTTTCATGAACATCCTTTCTTTCATCAGCACCTTGTAAACTTCTTTTCATTTCCTACCGTGCTAAATGAAGCCTCCTGCTTGTACTATTTATATACACACACAATTTTTCCAGTGTCTTCATTTGATCAATCATAAATCATATCAAAGGGCCGGCCTGTAGCTCACTTGGAAGAGTGTGGTGCTAATGACACCAAGGCCATGGGTTCAGATCTCTATATGGGGATGGCCGGTTAGCTCACTTGGGAGAGCGTGGTGCTGACAGCACCAAGTCAAGGGTTAAGATCCACTTACCGGTCATCTTAAAAAAAAAAAAAAAAAGATTCGGGACGCCTGCCTTCTGATTGGATCTGCTCCTGGATCCAGCTTGTCCAGTTTTCATAAATATACCAGATGATCCCTAGTGCAGGTTCCCAGATCATCTACAGAAGCCCTCAAGGCCCAGACTTGGATTAGAAAGGGAAGTAAGTTGCAGTCTTCTGGAGAAGGGACAGAAGAGGAGAAACAGAACGAGTGCCCACTCCAGTCTCCGAGATTTGCCCTCTAGCTTCTCCCTAGATTGAGGGCAAAAGGCTGACGGTGCAAGCTCTGGGGGAGGATGCAGTAGCAAGATTTTAGAGCTCGGGTCTGACTGCAAGAGGACGTAGGGGAAGACCGCAGGTCCCTCCCTACAGGTCCCTTTTTCTCTGACACCTCCAGGCAAAGGAAAGCCCTAACCTCCGGAGACTATTCCACAGAAGGCCAACTCACACACTAAAACAGCCCACAAGATCGTACCTCGGTCCCCACGGCCACTAGAAGAACCGCCCCGCGTGCGTCTAACCTCCGGAGACTATTCCACAGAAGGCCAACTCACACACTAAAACAGCCCACAAGATCGGACCTCGGTCCCCACGGCCACTAGAAGAACCGCCCCGCGTGCGTGCGGGCGTGAGCGGGCGTGAGCGTGCGTTCGCACAGGCTGCTGGGATACCACCCCGCCCCTCTCGGTCTTCCAGTTTCCCGGCGTGCTTAGGGCCCGCCAAATGGGAGGGGGAGACGCAAGATGGCGGCAGCCGCGAACTCCGGCTCCAGCCTCCCGCTGTTCGACTGCCCGACTTGGTGAGTGGTGGGGCGGCCAGGGCTGAAGTGGCCTGGCCGAAGCTAGCCTGGACTGGAAGGGTGGCTCTTTTTTTTGCAGCGAGCCGAACGGCTCAGAAACCGTGGAGTGGTTGAGGGAAAACTGTCTGCCGCGCCGGGCCGGGCGACGTTTGGAGGAACCGGGAGCCTGGATCTCGGGCCCAGAAACTGTGGAAATCCGGGGTTGGGGACTCAGAGGCGCTCACTTAGGCAGCCCCTTGGACCATCAGTTGGTCGCTGGGGCGCTTCGCGGCCTTGGCCCCGAACTTACCGCCAACTCTTGAGTGTCTGGTGCTCTTGTGTACTGCTCTTGCTGTACGTCCCGAGTGCGCACGAGCCAGCATCCTTCTGTCGTTGCTGCATCCGCCGTGCGGTGCTTGTCTGTCTCCCGCAGACTGGGAGCTCCCTGAAGCCAGGGGCGGCGCTGACCTATCCGCGTGTTCTCAGAGACCCGCGCGAAGCCCGGCACAAGTGGGCATCAGTAGTTGTTGGAGTGAACCCTTTTGATCCTTTCGAAAGTTCTTGGGAATGAAAGAATAATTTAATTTAGTCTTTGGGTAGGGTATAAGATGAATTTCCTTGCAAGGAGACACATCGTGGTTAAAGCTTTTTTGCTGTAGTGCATCACGGTATATTGTATTACTCGACTCTGTCTCCCGTTATGTTGGGATTCTCAAGGGCAAAGACTGATGCATCTTTGTATTCTCAGCTCCGAGGCCTGAAACAGGCACATAGTAGGAGTTCAGAAAGTATGTCTGGGATGTAACATTCCTTTCCCTGTTTCCCGGACAAAATGGGCTTTTTTCCAGTTTACTGTCTTTTTAGCAACTACCATTGAGGGGTTGGGGCAGGATTGTGAGGTTACTGTGTTGCATCTTCAATTAGATAGACAAGGATACATTTTTCATGTGCAAATGTAGGGGCTCTGGCAACGTTGTACTTTCTTCAAACATCAAGTGAGCAAATCCGAGAAGCAAGTGAATGTGTGGCTGTTTTCTGGATCCTTTTGCACTTTTGTAACACTCAGTTTCTTCGGTTTACAAATTCTTTGTCCGTTTTGGTCCCGCACTGCACTGATTTCAAAATTTGGACCAGGA